CTTACGATGCATGCGCCCGCGCGCTACTCAGTGCCAGCTAGTACCCACGCACGCCTTGACGCCGATCGATTGTCTGTGAATTCATATTAGGCTATGTTCAGATGGCTGAATTGTGACGCGTACGTTTTCTTTTTCTATATTTTTCTCTATAATATAACCACAAAATAATAGCCTCTTCCACGTCCATTTTCTACGTTCTACCGAACTAGTCTGACGAGTAGCTCTCGCAACGCGCATTAGCGCTCATCATCTGAACTCTCTTCAAATTTGATCGCGCGATTAATGCAAATTAACGCGTTACATGTGAACATAGCCTTAATGTACTTATTAAATATTAAGCTATATTAGAACCATATTGGTGACCCCGACGTGATCTGAATATGCAAAATCCTGATGATGCCTTCATGGCAGTATATAGGTATAGTAATTTATATAATTCCATGCTACGCCGATAAAATAGATCGCATTGAGAAAGTACAAAAACGATTTGTTAGATATTTATGCTATCGACAAAAAATTGTATTCCATTCTAAAGACTATCTCCAACTATGTAAAAAATTTCGACTCCTGTCCCTTTTGGATCGACGTCGAATAGCTGTCTTTACCTTCCTTATCAAAGTAATAACTAACAAAATTGACTCCCATTAGCTTCTAGAGATGATATATCTTAATGAACCACTCAAGACACTGCGGCTTACCCCTCTTCTTCACATTCCTTCTACTAAAACCAATTTCAGGCAAAGCTTCCTGGTGCGCGCCTCCACAAGTTTCAATAGGATATGTAAACAGCACGACATTGATCCCTTTTTATTAAGTGTACCCTTAGTAAAAAGAATCTTATTTCACATTTTTTCTAATGCTTATAGTACTGGATAAGCTAACACTTATTGCTGTTAATTAAATTGATAAAAAAAGTATTTCTTCAAACTCGTAATCTAAGCTCGCATTTTTGTAGAATTTTGTAAATTGTGTAAATTTCTACAGTTCTGAAGCTAAAAGTGAAAACTTTAAATGGCTCTCTGATATGTAATATTTTGTATATAACATCCTATTGTTATTAGCTGTTAAGTTAAGTTTTCCATGTTTTAATAAATAAATAAATAATGAAGGCAATATTCAAAGTATACTTATACAGTATTTACATTAGACAGGTAGGTACTTATTGTTTAAGAAATCATATCAAGCAATTAGCCGTTTTATTTTTCAATCACGCAAAAGTTGAGCGAGTTTATGAACGTTTGAAAAATTTTATATTTTTTACATGTTATTGCACATGAAGGCACTAAAACTTAAAAAAAAACGCTGATGATGCCGGTTCAAGTCCTGCCCGAGTCGAAATTTTTTTCAATTTTTAAAATAAGTTTGTAAATTTAAAGATGTTACACGAGACTCAAAAAAAAAAAATATTTCAATGAATATGTACATACTCCATTTGAATTCAATGATTCAAAAAAAAGCGCTAAGTAGAATACTAAGTCGTGTACCTATGCCTTTTACAGTTCTTTGAAGAACTTAATGACGGAAATGACAATGCTTAAGAAAAAAAAGTGAATACAATTAAGGTCGCTAGATAGATTGCAGTTGTAGGCCCAAGTGCAATTTTATGACTCGACTTATTTATAATTTAGTCTAAAAATGTTAATCTACAAGAGAGCACAGTGACCGAAAGTAGTAAATATAATTTTTACCTATATAATAAGAAGGTACATTTAATTCATTTAATTTAATTTTCGCTAGTTGATAGTGCATATTTTTCCCTTATTGAAATTGAAGTTTTTTTGGTAATAGGCCACTCTGCCTCTAGCAGCCTTAATTATTGTTTGAAATTTTTGTAAACTTAATAAATTAAATGTATCTAAATAATTAAACCAAACTGAAGAGTTAGTTTGAACCCGCTAATCTGAGGTACTGCGGGTTCGTTGAAAAAAACTTTTTGTGTTGGTATGAGCATTTATCGAGATGATATAAACATTACGATGTGACTAATAGAAGCTGAATCTTTCCAATACTTATTAATTATATAATCCCAAAAATATGCATTAAAGAATGATCCTCCTTAAATAATCTAAAAAAATTACCGCGACACTATCGGCCTTATTACAAAAAAAAAACTTAAATCAGAAATGTGTAGTCTTGGTTAACTCTTAAATCATGTTCAAGGTAGTACCGTAATTAGTGCAGTACAAACGTTAAACTTCGTTTTGCAATAAGGATTTCAAATAAACCAGGTTTGAGAGTTAGTCTTAAATTATATCTTTTAAAATTAGACGTCAATCAAGAAATACGCGACGGACGTGGTGGGTAAACAGCTAAACTTATATAGATTAAGACATTTACTATAAAGAAAACAAATTTGCTGCTAACTGATACAGCTAGTTTATCAAAAGTACATAATACTTTTGGTTTTTTTTTTTGGTTTTAGACATTTATTAAAGAATGTACACATTCACTTATTACTAAGTTAACTAAATATTACATTGGAATTTGGACAGTATTTTCATTAAACACAACCATAAAAAGGAGGTAGTTATGAACAGTATATCATAGTATTATTATCTAGCTTTGACGTTGTCGGCGCGAACGCAGCTGATCGAGTAAACATACAAAGATAAGCGATACTAGATGGTGCACATCACATTAAGTTTATTATTTTCTGTATTATTTTATTTTGTGTTATTATATAAATGTACGTGTTGTTTGCTAGTTTTATATTTTTATGAGTTTGATTCATTTATAGTATTTTCTGTTTTTGCTCTCGATGTATTTTCTATTTGTTGTAGGTTGCATGTATGTGCAAATTTTTACTTTTATTTTTTTATGTTTTTTAATATATGTTCTTTTATTCTTTGTTTGATTAATTTGTTGAACTAATTTTGGTATATTGTTATATATTTTGGCGCCCTAGTGCAAAATATTATTTTTTCCATAATTTGTTCGCGGTGCATATACTGTTAGGTCGTTAGCATTAGTAAGTTTTATTTTTTGAACTTATTGTTTTTTGTAAACTTGATTTGAGTTAGAATTTCTTTATTTAATATTTTACGCATTAATAAACAGTTATTCAAAATGTATGTTTGTTTAATAGTCATGATTTTTTTGTCATTATATAATGTATTGGTTGGTGTAAGATAGTCATAGTTAAATAGTCTTTTTAATAGTTTGTTTTGTGTAATTTGTAAGGGCTTAAGATTCGTTTTAACTGCTAAATCTAAAATACTATTTTGAACATTTATACCAATTTTTAGCTCTGGAAAATATTGTATTGTAATTTGACTGGGCTGGACATAATTAGCTAACAATAAATGGCACGCAGTGTGTCTATTTGGTGCCCCGTGTGGAATTGTGTCTCCATGTTTCATACAAAATAATTAATAATTTAACAATTTATTTTTTTTCATTAATTGAGAAACGGATACTTTGCAAGTCCATCCCGCTTTGTTCCGGCGACTGTAAAGACTTTGTTGTCTTTTGTTTTCCTCCTTCGTAAACGACAGATTAAGCTCGCCGAAACGTCGATTATGAACCAAATTATTTCTATGATGCTTATGATAGATCCTCCTAGACACAGTCCGAAAATTCCTCCCAAGTTGGCTGTAAATAGACAATTATTTTTATACATACACATACATAATTTCGAGCTTACGTTCACGAATACCAGAATGAAGGAGAAGGAGCGATGCCATTTGAAATTATGTAATCAATACAATTTAATAAATAAATCTAGCTGAACGATAGGTATAAATGAGTTTCTGTCTATAGTTTACGCGAGTAGTACACATTTAAATAAAACACTTTAACGGTCTAAAACGCGATATATTAGTTAAACTTATTTGAAAATGATTTTTAACCACGGCTGCTGCAAAGCATCCGAAACGTTATATCGCGTTTTAAACCGTTAAAGTGTTTTATTTAAATAAATGAGTTTCGTTTGCTGTGATGATCATACTTGGTTGATTACATAATAAAAACTATTTTGCTTTATAACGGTGACTTTACGGCATTGTAAATACATTTCAATAATTTTATAATTATTCCAAAAATACAGTATTTACATATTCGTTATTGTAATGTAAACAAGAAAATATGAATAGATGTTTTTAGGAATTATAATACTAAAATTCTACTATTAACTATACCAACTAACTTATCAGTTAAATTAATTGATTAAACAAGAACTCTCTTACAACATACACATAGTGAATTCACGAGCGTTATCGACTCGTGGACACAATATCAGTGGACATGGCCGCGTTGTCTGTAACAGTCCCAAACCGAACAATATCGGTTTTTGCGGGGGATAAAAGGTGTTACAATCGAGGTGTATTATGAGATATTATGTCGTTTATTGAATTGCGCATTTTATCAATCGGGATTGTTTATATACTTTAAACCAATGAATACTTAATAACTCCTATATAATTCCTCACCAACAGATCTTAAAGCAAATCATGAATTAAGCTCTCGAAATAACATCGTCTTCCGAACGATGAATAGCAATGTAATGATAACACGAAATTAATTGCCAACGCTATCTAAAAGGTCGTTCTATAACTCAGTTGCCGAAACACTAATAATACCGTCCTTTAACGCGGCCTCCTCTATTCCGAAATATGAAACGACACAATGTTTCCTAAGCGATATGGAATTAAACAATCGTTAATTTGTTTAAGATAGACCGGCCCTTAAAATTCAAACAATGTGTTATTCCACCACGAAATATATGAACCGTCTTCATCATTTAAAACATAAAAAGTTCCACTTTGCGAATCGGCAGTAAGTACCATCAGTAAAAGTAGTCGATACCTTTAAGATAAATACGAACGATATCCCTATATTGAACAGTTAAAATATCAAGTAAATTATATAAATTGTTTGAGTTTTTAGGGCTTTTTTCGCGATACGCGTTGGCGCTCCGGCCGCTCCAATTATTTAAGAAATTAATCATTAGTTGGTAGATTTCGGCGCGGGACACGATATCCCTGTAGATTGAGACTAGTTCATCAGCGGGATGATTTAAGCGGTCGGCACTGACCCAGCATTTGATCCCAGGTGTAGAGCACCTCTCGTCTATATTTAATGCATATGTTGTTGGCGTAATGCACGGCGACGCGGCTCAGGCCTCTATTCTCTGTGTTGCGAGACTCCACTCTGAAATACAATTATAACTGCTCAGCTTCACAGGCGCAGGGTTGGATTAACGTAAGAACGCTCAACGCGCGCCCTTCACGGATTGGCAGTTTATACAAGTGAAAGGACTACACAGGTACAGAAATTTTACTTCTTACCATTTTTACTTTATTACTTAAATAACCTTCAAATTACCATTCAACGATATAGCGCAAGTTGAAGAAGAAATGGCGTTTTTAAATATACCTACCTGAAATATTATTTATCATTACAAAATAAACACCAAGCGTAATTTTAAATTTTTTTTACGGACTTGTTGATTTCCCGTGTAACGGATTAGAACCCCCAGGGTCTCACAAAGCATAAATAGTGTCCAATATCAACATTTTTATATGCCTATGTTATGTAAACTTGTATGGCTTGATTAAATTTTAATGAACTGGCATCGAGCAACATCAGGTAACCATAGCTGCATTATAAACAGAATACAATGTTAATACCGATTCAATACAATCAATAAACACGCGTTCTCAACTAAGAGAATATTTGAAGTGGAGCGTAAGGCAAAATAAAACGACGAGTGTTTTCGGCTCAAAGGATCGCGAATCGCCACTCCAGACTCCAAGCGTCTATTGCGCGTTTGGATCACTTTGAGAAACGTATTCGGTGAGGATGAGGAAAATATCGCGTTACCTTCTCTGTTTATTTGCCATCATTTTCTCTCTATGTAGCCCCAGCCCCTATTAGATAAATGAAGAGTGATCTTTCTCTCTATCGACTGAATAGAATTGACCGAAAATAATTCATAAATTGTTAATATAGATATTACATACGGGTGTGTGTCTGGTTAAACGCTCGATGTAATAAACCCTTTTCAATAAATAAACTTGTTCAAATTGTTGAATAAATTCCCAGTTCCTCACCCGCGTCGCCTTTGTGGTCTCGTGTACTCAACTTCCGTCTCGTATTGCACATAATCGCATTTCTGGTAACATTCACGCTCCGTCAAAATGCTCCGGATAGCGCCTTGCACTTTATCTGTTCGACAAAGTAGAAGAAATGTGAATATGACTATTGAAATACAGGGCCGGTTTTAGATGCGAGTGGTTAGATGAATATATTATGTAGCTCGAGTCAAAAGTATTACCACCAGCAAACCAGCACTCCCTTTCGGGACGAGCTGCGAGATCGAGTTTTGTGAAATAGACGAATTCTATCTTTAGCGAATCGAATGCAAACAATCTCCAACTCGGCCACTCTAAAGCTTATCCACAGAGTAATCATTTGTAAGCCGACATTATTAAAATGATCAACTACGCTGAAACTACGATAGTTTGTGTATAGTAACACGTTTAACATAAATAAGGCGATATGAATAAACTTTATACGGTAATTATACTCATAAGTTACACAATTCAGTCGCGATTGAAGCAAGTTTAATTTAAAATATATTGATTACCTAAAACTCGGTACACGCAACTTAGCCTTTGCCATTTACAGCGTGGATAATATATTTCCTCTCCATCGCCTGAAACTCACAATTATTATCTTAGTAAATAACATTGTCGCCTAAAGATATACATCTTTTTGCTCATTTTATAAGAAAGGACAGAATTAGTTACGTACTAATGTGTTTTACTTTATAATTGCTTCCTTTGTTAAATGGCTATTCTTTTGGCTAAATGTTAATAACATTGATATTGTATTATGTACTACGGTATGTAGCGGAGAAAAGTTAGGATTACTCTTATAAGTTGCAGCTTTTGGGTTAAGCAATCTTCCGACATCGTTTCATTTAATGAGGGCGAGATTTTCTTCCAAAATTAATAAGGTGATTACTATTCGCAGAAAGCGAAAGTTCAGCTTAATAGCATTATATATTTTCTTTTCTAGCATCAATTAAATTAATTTAAAAAACCTTTAAGGGAAATGCAACTTCTTTATATATCACTTGCTCAAGGTCTCACCAAATAGTGAACTCACCCCCATAGTCGAAGGGCAGACAACGGCATTTAGCGACGATTTCCTTCATCACCCAACGACTTATGCAACTTTGATAAGAGTCTATATTTACTTCATCCTAGAAAAAATAAAAAAATAAAAAAAAATAGATTTAGGTTCAAAATCTATTTTTTTCTTTTCTATATAACAGATGGATTAACACTAAAAATAGGTTCCTTACCGAGTCAAGAAAACACTTTCTGCTGCGAAGACTGAGACGTCTCACGTCCGAAGAGGCCTCGATGACCCACAACTCCACTGTGACGTCGAAGTACGTCGCCGGTGTCAGATTTATAGGGCCGTCAAGAAAGGTCAGCCTGTGGTTCTGGTCGAAGACGAATAGCTAAGTAGAGGAACAAATGTTAACACAAAAGCTGCCATACACAACCACGTTAAGGAGTACAGTAATGTAATATTAGAGGCTCGCATTCCAGTTGTACTCAAAGTGTTAAATACAGAGGTTGTTATTTCATTACCTTTAGCTCTCATAAATACCCGGAAGCATCAAACAGTGTCGGTATCCGATACCGAAAGAAATAAAACATCTTAATTTACGCAATCTTTTCATAAGTAAGAAACCAAGATAAGTTACTGACCAAAAAACAATCAAATCAAAGGAAAAACGTATTTGTATCCATTATCTTGGTCTCCGAGAACCTCGGCTTAGGTTTGAATTAATTATTCCAAGAATCGTAATGGCACGTACAAAACGACGCCACAAAAGTTACATTTTCATTTGAGTGAGGACTTTTGAAAAAAAATTTGTTTTCCTTCTTGGTTATGAATTATTGCGTACTCCTGCTGAAACGTTGGCTTCTATATTCAATTCAATCAAATATAAATGTTTGCCTCCGATTTTTACCTCTCCTCCGATCCGATCTTTCCGATCCTTTACATGTATTTTTCAGCATTTAGAAGTTATCTCTGAGAAAACCTACCTTTCATATCTGTATCTACTAATACATGCTGAAGAGTTTGTTTGTATGTTTAAAGTTTAAACGCGCTAATCTCAGCAACTACCGATTCGAATTGAAAAATCTTTTTGTGAGGAAGCTATGGGCTATAAAACGTATAGCTGTGACTAATAGGAGCGAAGAAACGGCGGGAAATGTCGCTGACTCAGCTAGTTAGTATAATAAAAGTTATGTACAATAAATTACCTCAACGTATCCGTTTTGGACAGCTCCGTTAGGAAGAACTCGCTTGCTGTCCACAATTATGTCCAGAGCTTCGGACTTGTCTACTCCAGCCGTGAGATTGGTCTCGTTTTCGGCGAATTTCCTGAAATTGGGTCTTAAGATTATTGGGAGCGTAAAAATTTATATCGTGTGTCGAATGTAGATGATAACGTAACTGTAATTACCAACTTCTATAAAATGTTTATTTTAGTTGACTATTTCACGTAAGTTTTTAATTTGGATATTTTAATAACCACTAAATGTAGAACTAGTATGAACGTATTGATTTGAAAACGCCTATATGTTATAAATATTTTTACTCACTTAAAATATTCCATGTCAAACTGACAACAATGTCCATAATAAGTGAAAACCTCTCTAAACATCATTGTGCAGTTGAGAGGCATCTCCCTCCAAGAACACTCTTTTATCAGCTCCTCGCAAGGCTTTCGGAACTAATCATTGAAAAAAAAGAACAATACTGAGTTTCTATTTTTTTGAAACCACGTTGAAAAGATATATATGTATGTAAAGCTGCGTAGATGGTTTTATATAAATAATTAAAAATAACCTATTAAAAAAATATTAAATAATATGAATCGTGCCCTATTCTATAAATGCAAGTGATATTACTTCATCAGCGAGCTCTAATGAGATGCAAAGCAAACTTTAGAAAAGTAATTCGCGGCGTGTAACCTCGGCTCAGAAATAAGCGGCTTAAATGAGATTATCCGGAACTTAATGTAAAGAAAACTCAATTAGATAAGCCGGAGTACTCGATAATGTGCTTTTGAAGCCTTTTTATGAAAACAAGGCTCTGCGCGCAAGTGTGTATGCGGTAGCGCTATTGCTAATATTTGTTTGTTTACTCCCTCCCTGTGACTACCGATGTACATAAAAGCACTACCTGATGTGTTAAATCGTAGTATGTAAATCCCAAATCTTCCAGGACGCTGTGAATCTGCAGTACATGAGCTTCAGGTGAGTACTTCTTGCTCTTGATTCTAGTGAAACTCGAGTAGAAATTTTGTATTTGAGTAGTGTTGAATCCGCGCAGTGTTCTGAGCAAATGCAAATGCATCAATAATTAAATGGGGTTTCTAGTCCCGTCTTTTATACGTATTATTCTAACATCGACCAAAACATTACGCTCATTCTGATTACAACTAGTCTGCAATAAATAAATTGACACGCTCGGGAATCCAAATGTCGTTAAAACAATTGTGACCAAAACGTTAACAATAATTAATTCGTAAAAGCAATGCTCGCAGACTATACCCCCCACTAGACTCACCTGTCAAGTTTTCTTTTAAATGTGTTGTAAATTAAGTCGGTACAAAAAGTTATTACCCTAAGCTTTGAATTAAGATCACCCTAGTGTTTTAATTTTCCTAAAACAGAACATATTCGCTTTACGAATACTCATCCTTATAAGCTACAAAACTTATTTTTTTAAACGTTTTAAAAAATATAATCGTTATGAAATTTGTAGCTTAAAAGAATATATGTACTCGAAAAGCTAGCGACTACATACGACACACTTATAATAAATTAAAATAAATAATTATTGAATCTAGATCTAGACTATCTATCTACTTATTATCTGGAAGACCAACTAGAAAGAATGAGAGAATTCGCTACCTGGATAAAGATTAATTCACGATTGAAAAAGTTCCCACCTAAATTAATAAAAATAATGAATTATTTCCAAAAACCTTTATTTTAACTAATTTCATAGGTGTAGAATAGTAGTTTTGGGCGTCGAAATTTGTGTTTACAAACCTTATCCTTATATTCTATAGTTGTTACCTCCCAACACGTCTGCGTCGTTCGGGTCAGGTCTTTCAAGCAATTTTAAATTCTATCGCGGTTTAGATCATTTAAAGAGGATTCAACCGCTATCGCAGCGCACGCTACTATAAAAGAAACTATAAAAGAGGAATAGTTTTTCTCCTTTGTTCCACATTTCCAACAGTTGCTTCGCAGCTATTTGTCGCAGCGGCATTTTATATATACTTAAGCCTTTCTCACAATATGTTTGAGACGTTGGAAGTAGCAGGGCCGTAAATATGAGCGTCGCAGACCGCCACAGCAGCGAAGGGGATGTTTTCTGTCGGGTAGTGCGCCGACTCCACCTGGGGTAACCCCGCCAACTTAGCGTATCTAATGAGCGTATGTGACCATAATAGCAATTGCCAGTGTAAATCGACATGCACAATTCTAAGAAGTATGTTTTAACACTTGAATAGAACTTATTGAAACAAATGGCGTTGCAAAGCGCAAGAACATAGAATAATAATCAAATGACCTGCATAGTATAAGACGACGAAGGTCACAACCTTCAATCGACGGCACTCATCTCCCAGAGCGATTTAAAGTGTTCTACGCCATTTAAAATACGCTAAGATAAGTTTCCATTCATATAATTCATGTCGCTAAGTCTTACAATAGAAACTTTGCAAATTAAATTAATCTAGTCTAACAACCCGCAATGTATTGTTTTCATTCAAAATTCCAATATTATTAGAGTTTATTAACTGTCCACTTTACACTGCAAGCGACTACTTTCTGCAGTCTGTATTTAAATTAAACGCGTTTAAGGGGGGTCTACATTTACTGCAAAGCATCCGAAATACCGGGGACTAGATAAAATATATTGCAAATTAGGTAACAAATACATTTCACGCTTTAAACCGTTAAGTGTTAAATTTAAATGTGTACTAAGAGATTACTATTACGATTACTAAGATACAATTGTACTAAGAGGCAAATACACAACACTGTGTCAATTAAAACGTTTTCCCTTTAAATGTTACTGTTTAATATTGATATATCTGTTATACTTTCGATAGAAAAACTCACCACAGTGAAGGTGGGATCTTCGACAAATTTGTTCCAAATCATGGCGCCGAGGGTGGCGCACAGACACAGGCTGGCGACGATGACAAAGCCCCAAACCGTGCGATGAACCCCCACCGACAGATAGCAGAAGCCGTGCAGCGTGCATTGCTTACAGAACGCTGTGAACTTGGCTCGTAGTATACCAGTAACGCCTCTACAACACATCTAAAACGTATAAATATATACATCATGCATCTGTTTAGTTAGTTAAGAGGCCGTTGTCGTCTAAATTAACGGCAATAAACATGTTCGCCAATACAACCGTTTCACTCCAGTCGTTAGTTTAATCAGAAGGATAATCGACGTCACGCAACATGCAAACGAGTACTCACACCCGATATACATACGTAAACACGTCTATTATACTCGGCTCACTCGGTGCCCACAAAGTGCCCACTCGAGCAATATCGAGTCAATTAACTCTTCGTTTAATGACAAATTAACACAAGCGGAATGGTGATAGTTTAAGTTGGGAGCTTTCGAACTTTTTCATTTCTATCGTCGTTAAAATATCGTTTGGAGTTCACTTATTAAAATCTACTCTGAAACAATATCAACCTTGTAATTAAAGACAAAACCTGCTCATGCAGTAAAACAAAGTATTCAATCACATTCGCCTTTAAATTTGAGGCTTACCAATTAAGAATATTATATTTACAAAGTTCAGACATATTATTTAAAAAAAAATTGTTATTTATTCTTGTAGAATTAGGGTAATACTGGAGGGTATACCTACAATTTAGCGGCAGTCAGTTGTGTTTGAGACTCATCAAATTACAAGGAAGCTTTGTTTTTTTTTAAGACTCGTGGTGTAACCTAATAGTT